CTTTGAATCATGAATAGGAGATGTGAAGGAGAAGTAAAGGCAAGAGTAATTAGCATTACAAGTTCTAGACAGAGAACTAGAAAAAAGTCAGAACAGGGCAATTTTCAAATGATCATATGAGAGTCCATTGGAGTTTCTTGACAAGGGCTTCCAAAAGCATCCCACTATTGGATTCTTTCTCATTTTTCTTTTGTCTTCCAAGGCTGGACTAGTTGGCTGGGAAGAGTGGCTGAATACTCAGGTGAGGGTCCAGCGACCCTGAATGAGCACAACCGTCAACAAGCCCAATTGTAACTATGTTTAGCGATCAGGCTCAGCCAAAGTCGTGGTGATGGTATTATTTCACGCAGAAGGGACTGCTGTATAGCATCATCTTATTAAAAGGACCACCACGTGGAGGCAGGATCCGGGGGCTCTCAGGTAGTCCCCTGGGTTCTCAGGCCCACTGGTAGTGGGAGGCCAGAGGGAGGCCAGAACCTGCCACTCTGGCAGTCTGCTGACTCTTGACTTTTTTTTTCCCTTTTCTGTCCATCCTCCAACTTCCCCTGCCTGTATATAGACAAGAGAGAAATGGGGCATCACTTTCATACTTGTTTTAACCCATTTGTTTTCAAAGGTCTTGAACAGTTCAGATGAGTGTCTCTGAGTATCCTGTTCTACTCTTGAGCCCTTCTTCCACCCTTTTCTAGTTGGTATAAATTCCCAAGTTATTGTTACCTGATGTTGGCATGTATATAAAAATGTAACCAAATTTGGTTTTAGTTGGAAGATGATGAGACTATCCTTGAGTATTGCAATGTTTTATATAAGTCAATTATTTTCCAGTTTTGCTTCAAGCCATAAAATGAAATAATGAATTTGATTATATTTCTATGGTCCTTAATGTAATTTCATGAGAGGATGAACTAGTGATGCTAGTTATTGGTTTGATGTTCGTATTTGAACAGTGAAACCTATTTTTGACTATTCAACAAGCCTTTTCCTTTGGCTTCATTACAGGGTTGTTGTTTTGGAAAGCAGACCAACAGAAAACCCTACAGCACATAGCAATCTCTACATCTTGGCTGGACACGAAAATAGTTACTAGACAACAAGAAGATGAATATTCTCCATTGAATGAAAGCAAGAGTGTCTTAAGAGAATTCAGTAGACTGCAGTATGATTTCCTTTAACTGTTAAGGGTTATATATCAAATGATCTGTATGTTAGGATAGAATTCAGTATTTTCTGTAGCTGGAAACAGCTAGTCTTATCTCTTGCCACTGTGTGGTGGTTATATCAAGTTTGCTTAATAAAAGCTGTGAGACAAATAGTCCTCTAGTTCCAGGAAACACAGTCTTTTTTTTAAAAAAAAACAAAACAAAACAATAATGTTTGTAACAAAGGTGCCATGGTGTTTTTAAGTAACTCGTGATTATCTTCAGAGAGAAATTTAGTGAATGCTCTCTCGTTTTATACCATGTCTTACTCCTTCTTAGTGAACATAATTTGATAAAGAGTTATCACACAAGCCTTTCACTTTTACAGTGGCCTTTCTGTACGTTTTGTAAGATAGAATATTTAATCCTTATTTATTAATCTCTTGCTGGAGTGGTGTAATGTATCTAACTTTTAGCAAAGGAAGGTTGCAGAGCAGCTTAAATTTTTTTATAATGTACGGGAATTTTGTTTACCTTTGCAGAGTAGTACTTTAGAGGCTAAAGGCAGTGTGTTTGGAGTTCAACACATGCAATTTCATTTAACAAAAGTATTTTATAATACAACTCCATGCAGGATTGCCTTAAAGGGGGTTTTGTGTTTTCAACTGCAAATAGTTGTACACAGTCATGCAGAAGATGCTGCTGATGGCTGGAGAAGCCTCAGCTGGGTGTGTGATGTCTGTCTAGGTGTGGCTACCGTGTGTCTCTGTGTGTGTGTGTGTGTGTGTGTGTGTGTGTGTGTGTGTGTGTGTGTGCGTATGTATTAGACAAGCAGTATAATAGACGTGATTTTTTTTTTACATTAGGGATAATGCATAAGAAATTAATCATATTATCATCCCTAATGTATGGGAGAAAAGTATTTAACTGCCCATATTATGTATTTTACTTATACTGTGCCAGTGGGGAAATTGCAAAGCATTTGCATGTGTAATCTTGGGGTTTTTCACATATGTAGGTGTTCATTGTGAGTAGGTTTAAGGAAAAATATACTTCAAGTGAAATTGAATTCCTGGTGGGATAGTATAGATACTGTTTTTATATTTAAAAATTCCAGTATACTAAAATTAAGAAAGGATAGGGCCTTCCGTTGTTGTTTCTTTTTAGTATTCAAAACTGAAGTCTTATATTGGTACTAACTGTCTTAATGTATTTAAGAACAGTTAGCATTGAGATGATGGGCAAAGGGCTAGTAGTAGCAAACTATAGAATTAGTCTGACCAGTTACTTGACAGGGAAAGTGTTTACTATCTCATTTTAGCAGTTCTATAAAATGCATAGTACCGTCTCCATTTTTCAAATGAGGAAATAAGAGTTTAACAAAGTTAAGCAACTTACCTGTTTCATACTGGTTAGTTCTTGAGCCAGACCATGAGTCTTCTGACTCTGTTCCTTTCACTATGCAATATCTAAGTAATAAAATGTTACACAAATGAACTACAAAGTATTTGTTCTTTTAAAATGCACATATGGGGGCTGGAGAGATGACTCAGCAGTTAAGACCACTGGCTGCTCTTGCAGAGCACCCGGATTCAGTTCTCCGCACCCACATGGTGGCTAACAACAGTCCGTAATTTCAGTTCCAGGGGATCAGATGCCCCCTTCTGACTTCCTTGGGCACTGCACAACACATGCAATACATACATGCAAGCAATACACTCATACACAAAATAAAAATAATGAATAAAAAATTATGGGGGGTTGGCAAGATGGCTCAGCAGGTAGAGGTACTTGGCCACACAAGCCTGGTGACCTGAGTTTGATCCCCGGAATCCACATGAAGGTGGAAGGAGAGAACTGACTCCATGAAGTTGTCTGACCGCCACGTGCATGCACACATACACATATATCATGCAAATATGCAATAAATAAATAAAAAATAAATAAAATGCACATGTAGCTATATAGCAAATTTTAAACCGATCCTTCTCTACTGAGGGATACTAGATACAATACATGACAGGATAACCATCGTCAAAATCAGGACAATCTAAAAACAACATCTTTTTCTCACTGTCGTTCAACAGCCATTCTAACAGTATCAGAAGAGTCTTCCTGGTAAAATGTGGCTCATGCAAGGGAAAAGACCCAAGTAAGATCTTGACATCAGAGGCCTCCTGGCTGATCTGCTCAACTAGATAACACTACAGTAAAAATGGTAGTTGGTTCTGCACCCTGCGCTTGCAGTCAGTCTTTTGTCCTATGCTATAAAAAAAATAAGCAGTCAGCCAAGAGTTATAAGAAATCTGGGGAAAGGCTCAACATGAAAAAGAGGCAGCCACGGAGAGAGCTCATAGAGAGAGCGAAGTAAGAGAATGGCCAAAAGAAAAAAATGTCCGAAGCTACAGCCATGATGCAGAAGCAAAATACTTTCAGAACTTTTGGAAGATAAAAACAGCTTTTGGAAAGAATATGCATAGTTCACTTAGAAGATTGAGAATATAAAGTTGAGGAAATTTCTCAGAAAGTAAATTGACAAATAACTATAAATGGTGAAGAATAAAAGTAAAGAAAATTAACGACCCAGGAGGCCCAACATCCAATCTTAAATTTGAGAAAAGAGTGAACAAAAAATTGCATATTTCACCTGGTGTAGTGGTGCACACCTATAATCTGGCGTTTGGGACGCTGAGGCAGCCGGATCATGAGTTCTTCAAGGCTAACCTAGGCTTCATAGTGAGACTGTCTCAAAAAACAGCAAAACAATATCATAATCCAAGAAATTTTCCCAGTATTGGAGAACATTAGATTGTAGATTAAAGAACATAGTGGGTGAAAAAGACTTAGCAGGTTGGTGAGATGACTCAGCAGGTAAGGGCACTTACCACCAAGCTTAATGACCTGAGTTCAGTCTCAGGATCCACATGGTGGAAGTAAAGAACTGATTCCTGGAAGTTTCTCTCTTCCATATGCACACGCATGCACACACACACACACACAATAAATGTAATTTAAAATTGTTTTTAAAGAAAAACACCGAATCACATCATTAAAATTGGGGTGAAAGAGAAAAACATAACATTCCCAGAATTCCCAGCAGCTTACATACCAAGGAATAAACATTCAAATACTTGCACCAGGTGTGGTGGTGCACACCTTTGATTCCAGGCAGGCATATCTCTGTGAGTTCAAGGCCAGTCTGGTCTACATAGTACGTTCCAGGCCAGCTGGAGCTACAGGGAGGGAGACCCTGTCTCAAAAAAAGTAAATACTTTCAAAAGTCAACAGAAGTAAGGTCTTCAGTTTTTGTTTTTGTTTTTGTTTGTTTAGTCTTTTGAGACAGGGTTTCTCTGTAGCCCCAGCTGGCCTGGCACTCAATGTGTATGCCAGATTGGCCTTGATCTCACAGAGATCCACCTGCCTCAGCCTTCACATCTTTTTTTTGGGGGGGGGGTCTTTTTGAGACAGGGTCTCCCTGTAGCCCCAGCTGTCCTGGAACTCACTATGTAGATCAGGCTGGCCTTGAACTCACAGAGATCTGCCTGCCTCTGCCTCAAGTTGAAACCCATCCAGCTACAGCCAATGATTGGTTTTATTGTTTGTTTGTTTTTTTTCACTTTGGTGCCAAAATCATACATTGGAAAAATAACATCTGCAGCAAAATGGTACTGGGAAACTAAATGCTTATCTCTTGACCTGTACAAAGATCTATTCAAATGGATCAAGGACCTCAATTAAGACTCGAAGCTTCAAAATTGCTAGAGGAAAACAAGGCAAATACTTCAACATACAGCGTAGGCAAGCATTTTATGAAAAGGACTCCAGTAGCACAAGAGATAATAGAACTGACAGAGTGAATTACATGAAATTATAAAGCTTCTGCACAACAAAGGAAACAGTTAATAATGAAGGCATACCTATATGTGTAGGTAATAATACCTACACAATGGGAGAAACTGTTGGCTGTGCATATGCTGGATTAGTATCTAGGATTAAAAAAAGTTGTACACCAAGAAAAAAGTCCAATCAAATCAACAAAATAAATTGGACAGTTCTTAACAGCAAAAGTACAAATGGTCAACAAATATATGAAAAGAAATCCCATTAGGGAAGTGCAAATCAAAACTACATTGAGATTTCATGTCTCCCCTAGTCAACAGAACTATCATCAAGAAAACCACCAGTGCTGGCTAGGTTCCAAAGGTTTGGCAACAGAAGCCTTACACACTGCTACTGGGAATGTAAACTACTATAACTACTATGGGAGAGTTTTAATATTCCTCAGAATATTAAAAATAGAACTGCTGTGTGATCCAGCTGTTCTAAGTATGTATCCAAAGGAATCTAAGTCAGCATACCATAGTAAACTTGCTTATCTCTGTTCATTGTGGCACTGTTCACAATAGCCAAGTTACAGAATCATCCCAAATATTCCATTGATGGTAAAGTATAGTCTATGTAGACAATAGAGTTTTATTTGGTCATGAGGATGAAATTATGTCATTTGTTGGGAAATGGATGGACTGGAGAGATGGCTCAGCGATTAAAAGCACTGGCCATTCTTAGCTACTGGAATACCTGAAAGCAAATCCTGAATCCAAAAAATGGATGGAACTGGAAATCATGTTAAGCAAAATAAGCCAGACCCAAAAAGACAAATATATCATGTGTTTTCCTTTATGCAGAATCTAGATTTAAACATACACTAATTTTCTTAAATTTAATATTTAACCCACAATTCTTTGTTTAGCTGAAGGCAATAGTAAAATGAAAAATTTTAGTCATACAAGATCTCAGAAAGTGTCTCCTAATACCCTTTCTCAAGAAGCTACTAGCAGGTGCATTGCATGAAAATATAAAATAAGTCCAACAAAATTGAGGCATGGGATTAGCACATAATAGAGATTAAGGAAGCTCCCAAGCGATGGTGGTGGGTACCCAAGGATTATCACTATATCAGGTAGAAAGAATATATTGAAGCAAGGACTTGATTGTGCCAAGTCCACAAGGAACTCTGATAGCTTCCAGAATTGTCTTCTGAAAGACAAATGGTTCAAGCATTCATCTGCTACTGTCAATCTCTGGAAGTCAGGTGATGGCAAAGGCATCATATCTTTGAACATGGGACAGTTTGCACGTGAGCCAAGTAGGCCCCCTGGGAGTCAGAAAAGACCCTGAGAAAGAAAGTCTAGTTTCCTCAGAACTGTTTGTAGCCTCTGGGTGAAATCAGAGGGTGGAGAGATGTTTTTCACAACTCCAGTTCAATCAGTGATGACTTGGACGTAAAAATGTACACTTTAAATCAAACAACTGATGATTGCTAACCCCAGGGAATAAAGGTTGTGCAGAAAAGAAAAGGCAAACTTAACTCATCAAATGGCAAATAATGTCAACAGTGGATGTTAATCTAATCAAAATTGCAAGGTAACTGAATTGGGAGAAGACGTGCTATGCACATGAGGTGGAGGTGTTGACTGTATCCTCACTTCCACAGTGGAAATCTGTGGGTAATACTTAAAGGATTACATCAAACTAAAAGGCCGCTGTACAGCAAAGCAACAGAGTAGAGGTAATTAATGGAAGAGGAGAAAATATTGATGACCCATTCATGGAATTATATAAGGAGGACTGAATACATGTTTCAGTGATAAAGCACTTGCCTGGCATGCATGAGGTCCTGCATTCAAGAAATCCTGTCATTTCTAACACAGATGAACCTGGAGGATATACATAGAAGAAGCCAGGCACAGAAAGGTCATATGATCTCACTTTGACGTGGAATCTTTGAAATTGGACTCACAATAGTACAGAGCAGCATGGTTGCCAGGTTGACGGGTCAGGTTGGAATGCTGGTCAAGCCAACAGCCATACAAAATTCCAGTTAGGTAGCATTTTATTTTAAATCAAGAAGCTTATTTAGTGATGTGGAGATAAAATAATCCAAAAGAAGGAAAGTTATGAGAGGGAAGAAATGGGAAATGTCTTTTTTTGTAACTAGCTTTTACAGACTTTGATTCTTTATGCACATGCATACATTCATGGTTTTTTTTCTTTTTTTTTTTCTTTTTTTTTTTTAATGTTAGAAGATTTGGGACTGGAGAGGTGGCTCGGGGGTTAAGAGCACTTGCTCTTTTTCCAGAAGATCCAGGTTCATTTCCCAGCACCCACATGGTGGCTCTGTCATCCTTTTCCAGCTTTTATGAGCACTCACACATACCAGTATATATACTGACCATCAAAACACTTGTATCAATAAAAATAAATTATTTTTTTAAAAAAAGAAAATTCAGGGCTGGAGAGATGGCTCGGCGGTTAAGAACACTGGTTGTTCTTGCAGATGACCCAGGTTTGAATCCTAGCACCCATATGGCAGCTAACAACTGTCCATAACTCCAGTTCCAAGGGATCCAACAGCCTCTTCTGTCCTCCCTGGGCATTGCACGACACGAGTGCACTTACCTACATGCAGGCATGACACTCATACACATAAAATAAAA